TTTTTTTTTTTTTTTTTTTTTTTTTTTTTTTTTTTTTTTTTTTTTTTTCGTAAGATGATTTTCTTCAAGGATCGTTGGGGAGGGGGAGAAACGACGTTTAAAAAATCAGTCTTCGTAGGAGAGATTCGAATGTTTTAAAAAGGGGGTCGTTTACATCGTTGTTCGGTTTGCGTAAATGGTCGATAAGAGTATTCTTTTCTTTCTTTCCTCCCCTTATGCTTATTTAGAAAAACAGGACAACAATCATTTTCGCGTCTCGAACAAATTCCTTTGCTCGAACTCTCTTCGAACATTTGGCACGTGTTCACGATTTCGTTTCTCATTTGTCACACCCGATTCATTCCTTCCATTAACAGATGCGCGTCACGATATGAACGACTATATAACCGATTGGATTTCGTTAAAAAAACCTACTCTCGCATCAGTTTTTGGCACTTCTCTTAATTGCTTCTCCCTTTCTCGCTCGCGTCCACGGCGGATGGACGCCTTCGCCCCCCGAACAGAACCAAAAATTCCATCTGGAAAACTGAGCAATCTAAATTCCCCGCCAAATTGTACCCGCGCATCGAGACGAGAAACTGGCATCCATCGTATCGAAACTGTTTATCCTTCCGCGCCAGCCAGTAGTCCACTATAGTCCCTTATAGTCGCTAGCCAAAGATACCCGCGCACCTGGGCGAGTTGTTCATCTCGATGCAACGGCGGTCGGCCTCTTTTCGAGACTCGATCGGCTTGTGCTACGAGTTCAACGGGGTGGTCCCGATATTACTGATGAAACTGGGACACGCGTTGTCAGCCCTGTCTCCGCTTTGCAACGAGAAATGCCTGTAGGACATGTACGCTTGGGGATTGGACGAAAGCGGTTGATCCCTCTTCTCGGTCGACCTTTGCTTCTTCATCTTCATGTAGCCCAACACCGAGATGAGCACGACGAACACCACGAAACCCATGCAACTGCCCACTATCAGGCCAAGCCTCCTCGTAAGGATGTTGGCCAGGCCACCTCTGTCGCTCATCGTCCCGTCGCCTACGATCGAGTCGGGCGCGTCCAACGTTCTCACCTCCGTGCATTGACTGGTGAGCGAATTGACCATGGCGGGGCGGGCCGAGCCCTCGATCACGTCGTCGTGAGAGGCGTTCCATTGCCAAGAGCCAATGTCCTCCGGGATCGACGTGCCCCAACTGCCCAGCCCGAGCACGCAGATCAGGTACCTGGTGTCCGAGGCCAACTTCGTCAATCTTACCGAACGTGCCTTTGGATCGAGCAGCTTCCCTCGCACCTGAAAATTTCATCCGCTCGAATTATTTAAAAGATCCTTGAAGCGGAGTGGAAGAAGGAGAAAGAGGAGGAGTATTGAGTTTCGTGCGAGCATCTTTGCAGTGACATCGATTCGAAGATAAACGTAAAACTGAAGTATCTCCGTTTATTTGTTTTTAGCTACGGGCAATTTAACTTTTGTGTTTGACGAAGCGTGGCTGACTTATCGGCAAACTTGATAAGTTAACCGATATTTTTGTACCAACTTTTCGCGTTTGTTTTCCTTCCAAAGATCTGTCTCAAAGAATATCCTCTCTATATAATAACTTTCTCTATAATAATTCTTCAAGGAAACGGACGAGTGTACGTACGAATGTACGTCTCGTGTTAGATCAATGAA